CTCCGTCCCTGCAGTACGCTCCGCGACCTCGTCCCAAATACCATCGCCGAGTAGTAGTCTAGTCTAGTCGAGCCCCGAGCAAGCAACAGCCAGCAGGCAGGCTGTGAGGAGGTGAGGCCCCCGCCGGCCCCCCCCGGAGCTCGAGGGTGGAGGGTGACGTCGTTCAGGGCGTCCAGAGCTCCCATAGCGAGCCCAGGAGGAGGCCTCGGGGACAGTTAGAAACTACGGGGACAATAGAATGGAATTCTTGGCATTCTACTATCTTCTTTGGTTTCTGGACGTCCCCTAGTCGCGTGGAAAATGAGGGGGTCCAAATATTATTGGGTCCCAAAAGTATCAGAAAAGTCGTTGGAGTCCAACCAGACTCTGTGATATTTTTACCCCGAGGTAAAAATATAATGGGGTCTCCTTGGACTCCATTGACCTTTCTGATCCTCCCTATCCTCCCCATAAGAGGTGGTTCAAGTACGTCCGTCGTTTTCCTCATAATCATTCGGTAAATCATGGGAGCTCGGCGCCTGCGAGATTCGGGGTAGGCCACCCCGCAGTGCACGTATGCACTGTAGGCAGGATGTTGCCTACTCATCAGGCGCGATGATCTGATACAGTCGAGCTGATACAGTACGAGAAAATTCAAACCCAAAAACGAAGACTCTGACGACGAGTATTAGAACCCCCGATTCACAGTTCAAACATTGCAGCGATACTAAAGAGCCAGGAGGCCGGTCTCGAAACGTCAGGTGAGAGGGTGTCGTGATGGAACCGGTTCTTCTCCCGCTCAAGCTACTGCGCTGACTCGTGCCTTGAGCCTAGCTCGCCCGGCCACCCTACACTGTGGCGTCGTAGCCGCGCCGGTAGAGAGTCGGCCCCGTGCACCACAAGTCAGGGGTTCGAATCTCCAGTCCCAGCTACATTTTTCTGAACCGGTCGAACTCTTGGAGTTGAACTTAAACCCGTCATTTCAACGGGGCACCTTCGTGGATGAACGAACGGTCTGGTGGTTAACGCTGTCCCACTGGACCGGGGGTGACGATGACTCGGCACTGGGGTCCCATTAGGGGCAAAGGTTCGACCCTCGGCGAAAGCGTGCCGAGTAAGGGCCATCCCAGCCACAGCGGGAGTGGTAACCCGTGTGGAATTGATAAGTCCTTAGAATCTGGCTCTTCGAAGGGATTCCACGACTCGGAAGCTTTCCGCTCGGATCGCATCTGGGTGCAGTACAGGCTAACCACCGTACGCCCGTCTCCTCTCTTTCTAACTCCCTCCGCCCTACCCCCCATTCCCGGTCAAGCGGACTGGTGGGAACCTAGTCGATGGCTGTAAACTCCGGTGTGAGCGAGATAGTCAAGAAACCCGGCCCTCAGCTGGGTGCCTGAAAACACCGGATCCCATACCGAACTCCGAAGTTAAACAGGCGGGTCCCCGTGTCAAAGCGGGGTGGGTAGGGCCCACATTTTTTTCAGTTTTGATAATTTTGCAGGATTGCCACCTCCGCCGCCCCTGACGTGCGAAGGATCTTCACAATGACAGATTGCCGTTTGACAGCTTTCTTGTTTATTTGTTTTTAACTCATTCGCGGTTTTCGTGCTGGTCGTTTACGACCATGAATGTGATCCGCAACAGCACTTGCGCTGCGACTGGCCCCCACTCTCCAACCCCAACTCCCTTGCTCTCCTAGTCGCTAACGCCACAGCCTCCTGGGCCGGCGCCTCCCTCGAGCAACCTAACGAGAGGCTAAACGGCGTACACGTCCCCAACCGCCTGGAGCAGATCGCTCTGAGGCTGCGTCTAGGAAAACAATTAAAACCGGATGGACGAAAGAAAACACTCTGCCGAAATAGAAGCGGGCCAGTAAATGTCATCGAACTGCTGGTCCCGAGGGGGGCGAGGACGAGGTATGACGCACTCGGTCGCAGGAGGAGCAGTGCGATGGCTATTTAATCAATCTGCGAGTAGCGTTTGGCATCCACAAGTTTCCTGGACCGCCAGCGTTTGTGCGTATAGGCTCTAGGGGTGGGAAGCAAACCACGCTGGGTTTGAAGACAAAAGTGCAAAAAACAGTTCTATACATATTTATCTATGTCTCTCACTCTGCACCACCGCGACCTTGGCCTGCTTGGCGCGGTGCAGCGCAGTGCAGCCCAGGCCGTGCCAACACAGCCCCGGTGTGAAGCCCAAACGCAGCTCGGCCAGCCCCAAACACACCCCGTGCGCTGCGAGCTCAGCCGCCGCGGAGTCCACGGAGCTGGCCGCCGCCGCGGCCCGCGAGAACGTCGTGCGTGGAGGTCTCCGACTGGACCGAGCCGGCAACCCCTGGCACCTGCCGCGACAGCATGGAAGTATAGCACTTCGCCGCCCCTCTCCCCCAGACGACGCCGTCGTCCTCGTCTCCCGCGTCCTACCCCTATTCCCGATTCCTGTCATTCCCAGCCAGTCTTCCCTCACCCAGGCTGGCTGCTCCAGCAGGGAAGTCCGACGGACGCGACGGCCCCTGTGCCGCGTACTGCGTCCCCCGGCCCGGTCGGCAACGCGTCCCCCCGCCGGACTGGTCCAGATACGCCCCTGCCGCCGACGCCAGTGACTCTGACCTTGCGACCAATCCTTTATCGCAGAGGCATTCCAGCTCTTTCTTTCTTTCTGAGGAGAGCGACAGGAGGGCGACCGGGCGGGGCCGTGCCGTGCCCACGCCTCGCGTCGTCGCCTCGCGACCAGCACCCGGTAACAGGAGGAGCGTGGGGCACAACGTCGAAGCCCCCGGATCTGCGTCGCCGCCGACCGCCTTGCCGCCGCATAACATCTAAAAGTCGTAAAATTTTCGCCGGCGTTCCAAAAGAAAAAGTGATGAGACAATTCATTTTGGGCGAGACCGGAGTCCGGTCCGGTGGACCTGCGGGAGCGAGTATAACTCGCCCTATGAAAGTGCTTTCCACGGTCGCGAGGCTTGGCGGGGCCGGGCGCGGCAGGGCGGGGTGAGGTAGGGCGGGGCCGGTAAACCAGTTCCTGGCGTCGTAAGAGCAACTGGCTCACTCGTTGGGCGTGGCGGGGCGAGGCGTGTCGCCTGGTGACCTTGAGGTTCTGCCTTACGACTTCAGGGCCACGCCGCGGCGGCCTGGGGTGGAGTGTCCAGGCCAGACCGGCCGGAAGGAAGGAAAAAGGAAGTAAAACCAAACAGGCTCTCCTTAAGTCTGTCCATCCGGGGTCCGTCCGCCCGTCCGTGTGCCGCGGGCTGCGGCGCTGCGCCCCCGAGACCCGAGACTCGAATGCACCCAGCTCTGCAGAGCTCGTCTCGTCGGCGAGGAGGGAGCGGGGCGGGTCCGCCCGCAGCCTACGGCCCCTTGTCTCCCGGGCGCTTTTTATAGCAGGGGAAGTCAAAGGTTTCGGTCCGCGTCCGAAGCAAGGTGGCCCCACGTCCCACGTCCGTCGCCGGGGCGGTCGCAACCCCTAGGAGGCGCCAGGCGGTCCAACACTTGCCCAACACTTTTGTCCTGACCGAAATATTCTGATTTTTCCTTTTTATTGGTCGAACGTACATCGACATGCAGCAAAATGGAAACCGAAGCGTCTGATGGCGCAATCATGCTGATAGTTCGATCGGAGCGAGCGCATTGCCCAGAGGGTGTGAGCCCCCTCATGCGCTCCCCGTTGGACCAGGAGCCTCCCCCTCCCCCGTCCACGTGCAGTCTGTGGAAGCCCCCTAACTGGCGGCGCCGGCTGTTCGCGGCGACCAACGGGGACACGGCCCGGCCCGGCGCGGCCCCGCGCGGACCAGCAGCAGCAGCAGTGGCAGCGGAGGTAATCACTTTGCATTTCGGACTCCCGCCGTGAGTCTTTCTCGAGTCGGATCGGAAGGGCACCGACAGAGGAGGCGATACGAGAAACATAATTGGGGTGGATGGTGAGAGATGTCGTCTCGGCGGCCTCTCTGCCCCCCTCTCCGTCAGTACGCCCCCCCTTTTTTTGCTCTCTGGTTAATCGACACGGCCGCACCACACCGCGCTGCCCGGCGCTGCCCCAGTCTCGCCAGACAGTGCGCAGTGACTCGCCTTGAACAAATGTGTGTCTGTGTGACGGGCTGCCCTCGCTGCCCCCGCCGCCCTGCTGCCTTGCACACCACTGCACCCGCACCGCCCGTCCTGGGACTTCCCTCACTCGCCACAAAAGACTTTGCCTACCCCGATCTACACGCGTCAATAAGTCGTTTGGAGATGGGCCAAACATCGCGAGGATCTAGCGCCCTAACCCCCCCCCCCCTTCTCTTTTCCCCTGCAGCTCCCCCACCTCCTCCCCTCCCCCGCGCTGCTAACAGCAGTACTGACCCCTCCCTCCCCCTCCCGCCTGGCACCCATGTAAATGTCAGGTCATTTGCAGCCAATGGCCGCTCGGATGTCACTGCGATCCGCCGCGCTCTCTGGATTACGTCTGTAAGCCGCTTGCGCTGCATTGCGTTACTCGAGCGCGCAGGGCCGCCCCCGCCGCCCCCTGGCCGCCTCCTGCAGTTCGCGTGTCGCGACCATCCCCCGGCCCGCCCCCGGCCCGCCCCCGGCCCGGCCAGGGCTGGTCCGAACCACAAAGTGCGCCGGTCCGCTGCTCGACCGATGCTTTCAATTGCCGGCCGGCCGCTTCAAAGTGCTAACTAATGAAGGCGAGAGGGGACGGGGGCGCGGGAGAGAGAGAGAGAGGTGGGGGCCGAGGGGAGGGGGAGATGGATCCAATAATTAACCCGATGGGTCTCGGCGTCGTTGAGCTCGTTCAGCCAATTACGAGACATGACGCCCAGGGCAGCTAGCCTCTATGCAAGGCTCTACGGTCAGCCGCAACTTGGCATAGAGCAGTCGGATTAGCTGGATTTCAGGTGATTCATGGACTTTATGTAACGTGTTATGTTGTGCTTTCTCCCCTCCCCTCCCCCCACCATCTTGTTTCAGAATGTTTGGTGTTTGTGAGTTTCATGGCAATCAATTGATTATGCGTGGATTGAGGATAATGAGAAATGCAATGGATAGCATTCATTTACCATTTTTATTGGTTTTCAGAAATCTTTTTTTTAAAGTCAAAAATAAATTTCAGTAAATTTGACAATCACAACCAGGGGCAGCGGTTTGCAGCCTATAGTCACAGCACAACCTCCTCTGGGCATAAGTACAATTATTATAGCAAGTCTGAGATACATGACACAGGCAGACCAGGGTGGTCTCACACCATCTGTACAGTGCCATAATGTTACCTTGATTCAACATTTAACTATTAAAAAAAGAAACGACTTGTCTTACAAAAAGTCAACCTTACAATAGCGTACATGATAACTGTACAATGTGATTTCAATCAATCAACCGCGCCCCGGCACAGCCGCCACCGTACAATCACAATATTCATTTTTTTTTGGCACGTACATAAAATTACAGAAAGATAAAGTTTTCTACAAACTTATTGAGTAATATTCGAGGCCGCTATGAGCTACTGCTGCAAGCGATGCCTACAAGACGCAGTACTTCAATCATCTTTCTTATTTTTTGTTTACTTTAGGGAATAAGACTGGGAGCTGAACGCTACAAGTTAATGCCAAGAAAATGCAAAGAGTTTTTTTTTAATGACTATGCGACGAAGTGCCACCTCCTTCAATAGTTAATAATAATAATTAACGAGAAATACATGATCTACCTAAAACGTAGAAAATCACTGTCCCCATGTGCATTGCGTTGATGCTTGCATCAAAGGTCTTTTAATTACATATCGTGATTTAAAAAAAAATTCTCACGAACCTCACTAATAAACTTTTACAATATATCATATCGGTCAGCTAGGCCCAGTAGGTGACTAAGAACAAACTTGGTATTACAACCCGTAATAGCATATTTGTTCATCGTCACCATAATGCTCATTTTGAATCACCACTTGGACCCCGCACATAACATGCTAATAAGGAACATTTATATTTTTATGCTTTTATACATTTTCAATTATAGCAACACTCGGGCCCATGCACTGCGCTATGCAGGGTCAGGCGGCGTCTTGGGCAACAAGTGTCAGTCCACCCAACACATAAAAATAATGCAACGTGTGCGTTAAAAATTACAAATGGCTTTTACACCAAAATTACAATAAAATGACATTACTGCAACAAAAGGAAGGTACCTCAAAAGTTTAATGTGCATCCATATGTGCACCTAAGAGGATATACATCGAAACAAAAAATTATAAACACACAAGAAATAAAACTCAAGATTAAGAAAATGCAAATCTTTGCAAGACTCTTGGCTTAAGCAGCCCGACTGACTAGAAGGTCCCGGCCACCCCCCACTTGCGCAGCGCACGCGTCACTATATCACGAACAAACATGGCCATGTATGTGTATCACCCTGTATCTTGTAGTGCTCCAGGGCTCAGCTTTCATTAAACAAAACCGCTAACTACTATAAATTAAGATAAATAGGTCCCAGTCTTGAGCCAACTTTCGCCTTAATCTAAATCCATCACTCATTTTTACACAGTTGTCACCTTCATTTTCACATAACAGGTTTTAGTATTTTGGAATGGGACTTTGCCGGCTACCAGAGTGGCTTTCAGCCAGCACACTAATCGAAACAAAGTAATAACAAAAAATTCACTTCACAGTGATGATTTACTTTACAGTCAAGACTTAACCTACGATTCGCCAGGTACGATAGACTTTGTGGCCGGTGAGATCGGGATGCCCGGCCCGAAAGGGGGAGGGAGATAGAGTGAAAAAAAAAAAGGGTGATCCAGTTAGAGAGAGACGGAGTTAGATCACGACGAGCAGGCCGCCATCCAGCCAGTGGGCGCATTACATGAGCACGAACACGCAGTGTAGCTGGGGATCACAGGGGCGTAGAAGTAACCATTCTGGTAGACCCAGGTGGGCTGTGGGCCACCCTGAGCCTGCTGGGGGCCGAGCCTGCCCTGCAGGGCCTGCTCCTGGCTCAGCACCAGCGCGGCGAGCTGCTCAATGAGCTGCAGCGTCTGCCGACGCTCGTGCCCCATGAGGCATACTGTGCTCTGCTCCACAACGCGCCTCAGCAGCAGCAGGTACCTGTAGCGGAGCGCCTCCTCGGCGCGGCCGACAAAGTGGTTGCTGAGGTAACTCTGCAGCTTGCACCTCCTCCCCTCCCCCGCGCTGCTAACAGCAGTACTGACCCCTCCCTCCCCCTCCCGCCTGGCACCCATGTAAATGTCAGGTCATTTGCAGCCAATGGCCGCTCGGATGTCACTGCGATCCGCCGCGCTCTCTGGATTACGTCTGTAAGCCGCTTGCGCTGCATTGCGTTACTCGAGCGCAGGGCCGCCCCCGCCGCCCCCTGGCCGCCTCCTGCAGTTCGCGTGTCGCGACCATCCCCCGGCCCGCCCCCGGCCCGCCCCCGGCCCGGCCAGGGCTGGTCCGAACCACAAAGTGCGCCGGTCCGCTGCCCGACCGATGCTTTCAATTGCCGGCCGGCCGCTTCAAAGTGCTAACTAATGAAGGCGAGAGGGGACGGGGGCGCGGGAGAGAGAGAGAGAGGTGGGGGCCGAGGGGAGGGGGAGATGGATCCAATAATTAACCCGATGGGTCTCGGCGTCGTTGAGCTCGTTCAGCCAATTACGAGACATGACGCCCAGGGCAGCTAGCCTCTATGCAAGGCTCTACGGTCAGCCGCAACTTGGCATAGAGCAGTCGGATTAGCTGGATTTCAGGTGATTCATGGACTTTATGTAACGTGTTATGTTGTGCTTTCTCCCCTCCCCTCCCCCCACCATCTTGTTTCAGAATGTTTGGTGTTTGTGAGTTTCATGGCAATCAATTGATTATGCGTGGATTGAGGATAATGAGAAATGCAATGGATAGCATTCATTTACCATTTTTATTGGTTTTCAGAAATCTTTTTTTTAAAGTCAAAAATAAATTTCAGTAAATTTGACAATCACAACCAGGGGCAGCGGTTTGCAGCCTATAGTCACAGCACAACCTCCTCTGGGCATAAGTACAATTATTATAGCAAGTCTGAGATACATGACACAGGCAGACCAGGGTGGTCTCACACCATCTGTACAGTGCCATAATGTTACCTTGATTCAACATTTAACTATTAAAAAAAGAAACGACTTGTCTTACAAAAAGTCAACCTTACAATAGCGTACATGATAACTGTACAATGTGATTTCAATCAATCAACCGCGCCCCGGCACAGCCGCCACCGTACAATCACAATATTCATTTTTTTTTGGCACGTACATAAAATTACAGAAAGATAAAGTTTTCTACAAACTTATTGAGTAATATTCGAGGCCGCTATGAGCTACTGCTGCAAGCGATGCCTACAAGACGCAGTACTTCAATCATCTTTCTTATTTTTTGTTTACTTTAGGGAATAAGACTGGGAGCTGAACGCTACAAGTTAATGCCAAGAAAATGCAAAGAGTTTTTTTTTAATGACTATGCGACGAAGTGCCACCTCCTTCAATAGTTAATAATAATAATTAACGAGAAATACATGATCTACCTAAAACGTAGAAAATCACTGTCCCCATGTGCATTGCGTTGATGCTTGCATCAAAGGTCTTTTAATTACATATCGTGATTTAAAAAAAAATTCTCACGAACCTCACTAATAAACTTTTACAATATATCATATCGGTCAGCTAGGCCCAGTAGGTGACTAAGAACAAACTTGGTATTACAACCCGTAATAGCATATTTGTTCATCGTCACCATAATGCTCATTTTGAATCACCACTTGGACCCCGCACATAACATGCTAATAAGGAACATTTATATTTTTATGCTTTTATACATTTTCAATTATAGCAACACTCGGGCCCATGCACTGCGCTATGCAGGGTCAGGCGGCGTCTTGGGCAACAAGTGTCAGTCCACCCAACACATAAAAATAATGCAACGTGTGCGTTAAAAATTACAAATGGCTTTTACACCAAAATTACAATAAAATGACATTACTGCAACAAAAGGAAGGTACCTCAAAAGTTTAATGTGCATCCATATGTGCACCTAAGAGGATATACATCGAAACAAAAAATTATAAACACACAAGAAATAAAACTCAAGATTAAGAAAATGCAAATCTTTGCAAGACTCTTGGCTTAAGCAGCCCGACTGACTAGAAGGTCCCGGCCACCCCCCACTTGCGCAGCGCACGCGTCACTATATCACGAACAAACATGGCCATGTATGTGTATCACCCTGTATCTTGTAGTGCTCCAGGGCTCAGCTTTCATTAAACAAAACCGCTAACTACTATAAATTAAGATAAATAGGTCCCAGTCTTGAGCCAACTTTCGCCTTAATCTAAATCCATCACTCATTTTTACACAGTTGTCACCTTCATTTTCACATAACAGGTTTTAGTATTTTGGAATGGGACTTTGCCGGCTACCAGAGTGGCTTTCAGCCAGCACACTAATCGAAACAAAGTAATAACAAAAAATTCACTTCACAGTGATGATTTACTTTACAGTCAAGACTTAACCTACGATTCGCCAGGTACGATAGACTTTGTGGCCGGTGAGATCGGGATGCCCGGCCCGAAAGGGGGAGGGAGATAGAGTGAAAAAAAAAAAGGGTGATCCAGTTAGAGAGAGACGGAGTTAGATCACGACGAGCAGGCCGCCATCCAGCCAGTGGGCGCATTACATGAGCACGAACACGCAGTGTAGCTGGGGATCACAGGGGCGTAGAAGTAACCATTCTGGTAGACCCAGGTGGGCTGTGGGCCACCCTGAGCCTGCTGGGGGCCGAGCCTGCCCTGCAGGGCCTGCTCCTGGCTCAGCACCAGCGCGGCGAGCTGCTCAATGAGCTGCAGCGTCTGCCGACGCTCGTGCCCCATGAGGCATACTGTGCTCTGCTCCACAACGCGCCTCAGCAGCAGCAGGTACCTGTAGCGGAGCGCCTCCTCGGCGCGGCCGACAAAGTGGTTGCTGAGGTAACTCTGCAGCTTGGCGCGCTGCTGCGCGATGTCGGGGAAGTCGATAAAGAAGCGGGAGCACATGTACCGCTCCAGGGACTTCATGTCGGAGCGGGCGGGCCGGTAGTTGCGCACCAGCAGGTTGCAGTACTTGAGCAGGCCGCCGCCGCGGATCTCCTCTGGGCACCGGGTGGCGATCAGCTTCTTCTGCAGGTGGTAGAGCGCCTCTTGAAAGTCGCCGTACACGCTCTCGCCCACGACGGTCGGGTAGAAGTTCTCGCTGATGGGCAGGTCCGAGCATTCGTAGAAGAGCAGGAGGGAGTCGAGCACGATCTGGAACGAGTCGACCGAGAACTCGAAGGGCCGGCGCATCGAGTCGACGAACTTGAGCTCGACGTTCTTGTGGCCGCGCGAGTTGCCGAGGGAAATGAGCGACCAGCGGTCACCGTCGTGGTTCACCTTGACCATCTTGCTGACGTACGCCTCCTTGAGCGAGCACGTCGTGATGCGCTTGCGGCTCACACCCTCCGGCAGCAGGTCCATCAGCGACCCCAGCACGGCCGCCTTGACGCGCTCGAAGTTCCGGGGCGCCGTCAGCTCCACGCCGAAGATGAGATCCAGGTCGTTGTAGGGCTGCGGGTCCGAGGCCAGCACGTGGCTGGCGCCGCCGCCGTTGAGCCGGATGTCGCGGACGGGCATGTCCACCTCCAGCTTGCTGCGCACCACGGCCACCAGGTCGCGCAGGCGCACCTCCAGGGTGGGGAAGTTGCCGCGCCCGTGGATGGACACGACCTCGTCCATCATGTCGCTCAGGCGCTGCACCTGCTCGAAGCTCAGCACGGACAGCCGCTGCTGAGGCTTGCCGCTGAGGGACTCCATCCCGGAGCGACGCAGCCGCTCGGCGCACACGGCCAGCGACCCGCACTGCAACACACAAGAAAAACAGGAGGGTCAAAACACGGCTAGAACACGCATCATGAAACAGACTGAAACGCGTCAGATTTGCAACTCGAGGGAAACATGCAAATGACTGGTCCAGGTAGGCGTCCGCCGAGCCATCGCCCGCCACAACGCCATCACGGAACGGGCGGCCAGAGCTGTACAAAAAGCGCAAAAAATAAATCGGCAGAGGTAAAACAAAACCACCACCGCAAAACTAGTCGGCACACTTTACAAATGCCAAAGAAGCCGCAGATCCCAAACGTACGTGCCTCTATCGTACTTCCGGCAACCATCAACTGACCAGCCAAAACCATTAGCACCCCCCCCCCTCCCAAGCACGTGCAGCCCCGTCACGGGTCTCACAGCATCCCCCTCGGACCGCCCGTCTCATCCGACCAGACGATAGTACCATTCCGCGCGATATCGCCCCCCTCCCCCCAATGAATGACGGCGACCCAAGGCCGCTCCTCCACGCGAGTACAGTCCCCCTCGGGAGCATACAGTCTGGCGTGAAAGTGCAAGTGACGCACGGCACGCACCCGGCCACATTCCGCACGTCCGTCACGGCAGCGGACGGCACGGCAGCGGGGCGCGGCCGCGCGGCGGAGATCCGGATCGTGCAGACCAAGTTCGACAGTACAGTGCGTCCCCCACGCGAGCCCGGCAGCGCCCCGCCGGCCCCGCCCCGCCCGTCGCGTGAGAAGCAAACGTGAAGGAACCCCGAGCGGTCTTGAACCCGTCGCCGCCAGGGGCCACGTGTGTGTCCAACCCCACCCCGCGGACCTGTCCCGTCCACGTGGGCGACACGTGTGCCATCCTCCCATGCAACAGGCCGTTCATTCATACACGGCAAAAAGAGGCGGGGGGGGGGGGGGGGCTGCAGCCGGGTGCAGCGGAGAAAGGAGGTGGTGAAAGTGTCAATAACAAACATCTTCAGCTGGGCTGGGCCTCAGCCGGCTTTTGGTTTCGCTTTCAGCGTAGCGTGGCCGTGGCGCGGAGTGGCTCGCTGCACCACCCGATGATGCCGCGCTCCCCCTTCCCTCCCTCCCTCTGACAAGTGAACGGACGGGTCAGATGCGTAGTAGTGTTGTAATACCAAACAGCAGGCGCAAAGGGTTTTTGAACTCACGTCAGTCAAAGAGGATAAGCCCCCCCGAGCTGGCCTCGATAGCCATCCGTGCAACTGGCTGGCTGCACTCTAGGAGGGCCGCACGCCGTCTAGAGACGAGACGTCTAGAGAAAGGTGGCTCTGGCGTAGGCTGGCGCGAGGGGGAGGGGGGCAGGGGCGAGCAGACAGGCTCTGCATCATTGACTGCGCGCTAAAACCATGCAACGACCCGTCGTCAGCGCCTTCCTTTCACGTCAGAAGGGCGAATTCGTTATTTGCATTTGGTGCCTCTCGCGCACCTGCTCCATAGCGACCTTCGAAAAATATCGACGGGTTTTCAAGACATTCCCTAAATGGTCGTCTGTAAGCCCCGCGCCGCGGCCAGGCCAGGAGGTCGGCGGCGGCGCCAGGCGCACAAGTGCGTCCGCGGGCCGGGCCCGGCCGGGCCAGCAGGTGCTGTGCGATTCGTCACACTTTAGTGTGATTGTGCGTCTGACCCAGAGGAACACGGCGGCCGTGAATGCGCGGCGGAGAGGCCACGGGGAGCTAGGATTGGGGGAACACTTTCAAAATAACGTACAACCAATAGATCAAGGGGAACAGGGACTAAGACTACAAAGGACGACAGGCACGCGTGATTTAGTCACCGGGAAGCAGTAGGGGTGCAGTGCAGGTTTCTCTGATACTCAGTATTCAGCCATCAACTCCCCCCCCCCTTTCCCATCGCTTCCCTTCCGCGGGACCGGGGGGGGGGGGGGGCAACGAAAAAAAATGAAACGTACGTAATGTTCGCGAGGCTCGACCCGTGTGTGGCACCCACACGCGCAACCGGCCAATCAGCCCGTGTACTCTGTCAAAAGGGCAACGTCGAGGCAACCGGTTGGCTGTCCGAGCCGCGAAGCGCCCGGGCCAGCAATAGGCGGCAGGGAGGGAGGAGAGGGGAGGGGATGCTGGAGAACCAGTTCCCGGCACCGCGTGGTGGATCTTCGCTCATTTGGAGGCGTCACGTCGCATACCAGAGCGTGAAAAAAAAAATAATAAAAATAAATGACGCAACAACACGGTAGTTGGCCGGGGAATAGTATAGTCCAATGGGGGCGGGCAACAAGTAGGTGGGCCGTGTGGTGCACCTGGTACAGTTCCTCCGGAGCTTCATAGACGGAGGAGCCTGCAGAAAATACGCTTTTTAGCGCAGATGATACCTTGAAACACTTTATACTTAACTTAAAATCTTTTCCGGCTATCACTGCGAAAAATGGTCGTAGGTTTACGGGAAAAAATTTCCATGACATGTGTCGTAAAATTACAGTTCGAGATTGTAAAATTACAAGCACTTTGTTTAGGCCTGGAATTGACTGACAAAGCAAGAGTAGGCTGACGCGAATTGTACATCTTTAAAGAAAAATTACGACAAACGTTGTAAATAATTAACGGGGGAAATTTTGAGAGTACCCTGTCTCAACCCCAGAATAAAAAAAAAAAAAAAAAAAAAGGGGGACAAACGCATTACATTTCGCGAACTTGTGGCGGGATAAAAGTCCTCTGGTCAGTGCGGACAGATAAAATGCGATTGCACAGAGATATGATCGCAGCTGAATCAAACATTTGTCCGCACCCGAGATAACAGTCAACCAAACGTTCCATTATTATGCACTCCCATCGAAATTATCTCGCATAGCTGTGCGTTCACAAAATAGCGCATTGGCGCCCGAGCCAATCCCGCCGCACCACTCACACGAGAAATTAAATTCTGAGCGCATTTCTCACACGGCGCGTTCCCGCCCACATTGCAATTTGCGACCGAACGACACAGACCCATTCCCACAGAGCGAACGGCCAGCGGGCTGCCTTCCACACACAAATCAAAAACAGCCAATACTACAGAAACAATCGTTGGTAGAAATATACGAAACGTTTTTGAAAGGGGGATGAGAGGAGAGATGCGGTGAACGATCTTCCAGTGCAATAGCAGCAAGACGGGGTGTTTCGTTTTAGACGGCCCAGTAGTGAAAGGTTCTACTCTACAATCAACATACCTTCGGAATTCTTTCGCGAGTGTAACTGGGGAACTGTACTAAATTGGAACTTGAAATTAGTTTAAACCATTAGCCCTCCCCACTCGTTGCAGGAGTCCAGTGTATTTTCGGAGCTCCGACATTAAAGGGGAACAGTCGGCGCGGGCGCTGCTGGCTGGAGTGGGGGCTCCAGAGGGGAGGACCACAGTGAGAGCGGCTGGATCGGAAAAGTGAAGGCTGCGCTTTTCCTTTCAAACACCTGACAAAGTGTAGCGTCCACAAGCGGCCGCCCGCCCACGCTCGTTCCAGCCGGGCCGGCCGAAGGCAGGGCGTCCTTGTGTGCGGAAAGAGATAGGCAAATGGCCGCCTTGAGCGCGAGGCAGCGGCAGGCGGGGGCCGGCCCAGCCTATCGCGCGACCCATTGGCCCAGAATACAGAGTGCGGCCCAGGAGAGGGTGAAGGAAGGAGAGTCCCGACCAAACGCCTAAACTATAGAGATTTTAAATTTCCGGAAAAGTATACCAAGGAATTTTTTATTAAATCTCTTGAATTTTCCCCCGAAAAATTTCAAGTTTTTCCGGAAAAATTTGGTACTTTTAAACTTTCCCCTACTCCAAACACACACCAGACAATGAGACAGTGAACAATACCGCAGAGATGGCGCAGCCGCGATGCGCACGCGAGCAGGGGGAAGCCCCTGGCGGATTAACGGTCGAGCCATCTGCTTAAAGCGTCAGCCGTCAATTGTTAGTGCGACCGAATGATGTGTCGCCCGCCGACAAATCTCTGATAACGAAGCCGAAACAGGGAAAGAACATGACCCCGGGGCACGCGCACACCACCGACCGCACAGCGGAATCACGCGCTCCAAACTATTTCTCTTTCCATCCGTACGCCCGTCCAACGGGGTAGTGAAAGTGTTTGTGTGAGTGTGCGAGACGGCCCCACAAGCGGTCGGCCTGTGATAAGGAAGTTGACCGTTAAGTGCCTCCACCACACCACACCTCACCGCAGGCTACCCTTCAGGCGGCGCGGCCGGCCGGCCGGCCCGGGGCTGCAGGTGTCTGGGCGACACATCAACCCCCCACCCCACCCCCGCAGGCGACTCAAGCTAAAGCAAGTCATTCCCATATGCGAGGGGCATTACTTCTCTCACGGCTCTCATAGTTAAGTGTTTGGCGAGCCATGTAAAGTGGATCGATCCCAACAGGTATAATTTCTCCTGGTGGGGTACATCATGACGTTCAACCCCTTAAAAACATTCGACAATATTTGCGAGGCCCCTTACACCGACTACGACGTATTCTGAATAGTACAGTCAGCTGCCCTATAATTCATCCTCGTTTTCCTTTTCCCGGTCGCCTAATAATTCAAAAGCCGCGCCGGTTCCCGCCGGCCGCCGCCCACCAATAGGCGCTCGCGATACGGGCGATAATGCCAATGTCGGCGCCAAACATCGACCGGGCGCGGTGAATAAATGCAGAGGACCAAACGCGACGAGCACGCCGTCCGCACGACGACACCAAATCGATAGGCGCGCGCGCGCGCTCACACAATGTGGCGCAACACCGCCGAGAGCAGAGAGAGAAGAGCAAAATCAATGACACTTCCTAGGGTTACTCCAGGAGTAAGGAAGGCAAGGCCACACGCTCACTGGAAACGCAAGTGTGTGGATGTCGCTCACTTGTAGGTGTGTGAATGTCCATTCGTACACTTAGGTGGGTAAACGTGCGAATTTTTTAGGCAAATTCCACACCTTTCACCCCCTTGGTGTAAGAATGGATACTCACACACCTACAAGTGAGCGACATTCACACACTAGCGTTCCCAGTGCAGGTAAACGAGGGGCGAGAGGGGAG